ATAATTCACAGTGGTGGATCAAACGTGGTCCACCAAACCTTTCTGGGTAACTTTTTGTTCACACTTGGTAATTGCTGTTACTGTGATTCGCCTACTCCTAACGACTCGCTTATTCATGTGTTTCTCGGTACATACTGACTAAAAATGTTAAACGACTGATGTCTGGTGGAATTGTGTCTTGTGTATCCATTTGATATATCCTATATTTAGTCGACCGCAATGGATGTAATGGGTGACAGAGTTTATGAAGCAAAGGCAAAGATCTCATTTGAATGACAAAATTTACATTATTTTGTTTCCTCACACTATATTCTTGCTGATGGTAGTGTTTGCTTTTTGGCAGACAAGCCACTTGCCTACCACAGCTTTAATAAGTCTTGAGAAAAATCTGCACTTGGTGAAGCACGTCAGAGCTTCAAATGTAGCATTACAAGCCTGGCTGTAATTAAACCAGGGTTCATTATTTTGGAAGCCAGTAATTAAGTGTGGTGGAAAGCAAGGGAGGGTAGTGAAGGTACTCGATTGAAAGGGGACCCGGAGAACCACTTAGTTACGCTGCTTGAATGACTTTGAGAGCTTTTTCCTGCTTGAATTATCTAGAAATGAGTGCATGATTGTTTTGCTGCCATCTATCCTGCTAGACCAGCGTCTTAGTCACAAAACCTTCTTACCTTTCGGTCCGATCTACATAGTAAGTGAAGAATATATTACTTGTGGCTGTTCAAGAATGTGTTCACCAGAAATAGCGTGGGAGGATACAGTCATGCCGCGACTCAACCACCGCGTTCTCGTCCCACGAAAATCCATTTGTCATCAAAGTGATTCATTCGGCACAAAAAACCAATTGGTCATTGAGGTAGAAGTGAGATATAATTGAACTGACGAATTTCTTTGGTCCTCCACAGGGGCATACGGCTGGTAGTGATGAAATGGAAGTAAATAGACAGGTGGCATTTGTTCCGAGATGAAAAATAACAGAAATTGGCACTTGTGATTGAAGCAGTAACGATAATAGCGATAGTTAGTTGACAAGTAACTAATATTAAACAGAATGGCCTCCACGTGCGTTACCAGGTGTGCTCAAACGTTTTCCGCCACTTGATGTCTTGGCATCTGCCTAAGCTCAGCAAATATGTACCCAGTGGATAAAACTATTCGAGGGCATAATGGCAGTTGTAGAGCCTCAGCAACGCATTATGAAACTGCGACCCGGATTTGAATCACATAGTCTTTATGACCAAATATAAATAAATAAATTTATTCTCATAGTACAGTACATGAGGGACGCCAGTTTACAGGCATCATCAAATTGTTACAGAAATAGAACGATATAATTCAATCAAAATTTACAGGCACTAGCAAGATATGCTTTACATGTTCGCTGGAGATTATACATACACTTGATAAATGTTAATCCCATTAGTATAAAACAGCCTTTTCACTTATATACAATCATTTCTGTGCACAGTTGGAAAAATCTGCTAGATCGTCAGTGAGTGCAACACACCAGGAAATACAGAAGTATTGTCTTCTCATTAACAAAAAAACCAGGTCTTTGGTGGATGGATTATAAGTGCCTGGGAAAAAAATAAAGCTTGAAGTAAATATTCATACATAACTTTGTTGTGTGCAGAGTCCTCGAATTATAGTTCATTGATGTGTTATTTTGAAATCAGTGATGTGTTTATCTCATGTGATCTACAATGTCATTGTTGGGAGTAAATACATAAGCTTCAGACGCATTTATTAATGGATTTCTACTGCTTGTGGGTATTTTCTTAGCGTGAGGAAGGTTTATGAATTTCAGCTGTTCCGACAGGAGTCGAGAATATTAACTGCTCAGCAACATTATGGATATAAGTTCATCACATTATCTAAGGAAAGGTGGGTTGCAGTTGGTGAGGTATATATGGTGCCCAACGAGCGTACATCTGTCCATGTGATGTGGTGAGTTATACCTTTTTCATGTTGTCGGTTTATATCCATTTTATTCCACTTAATGTGTTGGGTAGTAGTTTTACAAACGAGAGGTTACTCAGGGTGTAAGTACGAAAGGATAATATACACAAAAGTTATACTGGCGTAGGAGAATTTTCTGGAGAGCTAAGAACTGAAGTATGTCATAAACTATTATGTCGGCGTCGTTATGATGATCGTGAGTTCACTATTTTTCTATTTACGGAATTGCATGAGTGCAGACAGAATATGCTTACCAGGTGGCCGTTTGCTCAGTAATCTCTCTCACAGCGCTAGATCAACTAATTTCGACCCTAATATATTTAACATCAGGAAGAATCCTCCTCATTTTCTAGTTGTTTTTTGTTTTCCCATCTTTAATGGTTACCTCGCACATTCCGGAAAAATCTTTCTAAGCTCTGTTCCACAGAGCGTTCTCATAGCTGTTGAGTCCATTGCTGTTCCTGCCGCGGGTTGGCAATGCTACACGAGAGTTAAGGTAATACAAGGAAGCAGTTCACCCAATAATATTTTGTCTTTCAAGGTTTGCTCTTGTTTTCAGCTCTTGTTTACTGTTTCAGGGTACCCCCATGCTGCGTTGTTGGGAAGTTTTCAACCGTAAAGGTGGGATTAGTGCTTGGTCACTTCGGAAGCACTATGGCACGCGCTGCTTTGAATGCAGTGTTCATGTCACTTTTAGCAAGGGAAGTGGGTTTAGTCCCAAATGTGCGTCGGTGGCACAGTGGTTAGGACTCTCGCCGACCATGCACATGGTCCGGGGTTCGATCCCCTGCCGGCGCACACCCGATATCTATGGTCGGCCTGAATTTGGGCCACCGATATCCATGCTGAAAATTCCATACTTGTACTGCAAAATACGGTGTGGAATCAAGCTGTAAATAAAAATAAAAATAATAATAGAGCACTGGGATCAATCTCCTTATGTCGTTAAGAAATCCTACTCGGTATGCCACCTTATGTGAAGTAGATTTCGATGACGGTGTCTTAACTTAGCGGCATGTCTAAGGGTTTAAGACTGCCTCGTAACGTTTTTTCACGCGAAGAGAATCTTGTAGTGAACTGAAGGTCTTACCTGGCCTGAATATCTAGAGACTCTTCACCAAAATTCAAGTGGATGAAATTTTCCCCAGAATGTATTGTTCATGTGATATATTGCAATTATTCAGTATGAAGTATTTATTTAATGCTCGGTTACCTTGAATTGTGTTTCGGTGGAAATACGGGAATTTTCAGTAATATTCCCTTCGGTACTGGGTGATCTACAGACTAGGGGTGCTTCTCTACTAAAGATTTGTTGATTGCAAATGACTTGGAAGGTTTTTAATGTGGCCAACTAATTTGAGGGTCAGCAGGAAAGCCAGAGGATGTCTTAGCAAGGTGAGAGCAAGCACCTATATTTAGCCTGCTAACTGTACCAGAAGCAATATTAATTGGAAAGGGTGGGTAGCAGGCGGACAGAAGTTTGTTCGATGAAGGAATGAATACAGAGTCATAAGGTGGTACCCTTGAATAGTTAACTGTTGTCTAACAGTCAGATTAGCTTCGGATGTCTAATTCTACCTGAAGCAATCCAAACCTCGTGTTCAGACATTGGTGCTACAAGTAGGCAATATAAATTGGGGTCATCAATAGAAACAGTTGGACGCTACATATATCTATGGAATTATTGTTTGGATGGATCTCAGGAAATTTTCTCAAGTATTTGATTATCTTTGGAACTTAGTTTTGAGAAGTGCATTTAGACGACCTCACCTTATTAAATTACTGTTAACTAAGTTAGACTGAAAAAAGACCAGGGATAAAAAATTACCGTTGGACTTTGTTTTTATAGTTTTTGGTAAGGCACTCTATAAGGCATCACATTTAGGCCTCTTCAGCAAACCAAGATGTTTTTGGGTAGACTAGTGCCTAGGTGAGTGGCTTTGGGACCAGCTACTGGGTAGAAGATGGAAGGTAAGGAAAATAAGCTACTGTCAGGGTAGAAAACAATATCAAGTGGAGTATTCAAAGGGACTTCATTAGGCCTCCTTTTTATCCCCATTATACGTAAAGGAACCACTGAAAACTCTTACCACATCTTCTTCTGTATTGTTTGGGGACAATATTAAGATATGGGAAACTGCGAATAATAATGGCGGTAGGTCACTCCTGCAAGGTGGTCCAGATAAATTAAGTGAATGTTCTAACGTCTGTAGTCCGGTGGTTAATTCCATGAAAATCGTGGTAATACGTTTAGTTCAGAGGTCTTTACACGTCACACTCCACGAGGGCAAAAGTGACTGATGTTGAGGACCAGAAGACCCAGGGATTATCGTCAGCCACGATTTGAGAAAAAAGTCTTTTCGAATGCTATGGGAACTTCGGCGAGCTTTCAAATGAGTAGGTGAGTATGTGTTCAGAATACTGTATGCAACATATGTCAGACCTCGTCTAGAATAATGAATACAAGCAGCTTGTCCATGCCTCAAGAATGATGTATCTTAGAAAGAGTAAGGAGGGTAGTAACAAAACTAGTCTGCGGTGTCTCGCACCTGATGAGAAGAGAATAGAGAGGTGAACTAAATTCGGCATGTCTAATACAAAGGATGGTTTGGAGTTTGTTCTTTCTCACCTCTTATCTCCTTCTGGGACATCTTTGCGAGGTCACTGCAAAAAAGGTGCTCAAACCGAGGACGAATAAAATACACGTGAAATAGAATGGTCAATGCCTGGGACTCCTAACCCGCTCAGCTAGTATCACATCCATCGGTTGATGCTTTCAGAGAAGAATTAAATCCGTGAAGACATATATAACGCAAGGATTAATGCCTTTTTAAAAAGTTTACTATTCTTAATTATCTGAATAGAATTATTTTTGAGCCTCATTTGAGTAGACATCGCGACAGCTGTGATTTTTTGCACAACAGTTCCAACCAGCTGCTGCAAATATCATCGATATGCTTTCGAATGAAGTTTCTAAGGCTCTACTTTTAAGACAGCTGATGCTCCAATGTGTTTAAAGAATTATTAATCTATTGTTGAGAACCGCGCGTAATTTAATTGGATCCGCGTGATTAAAGGTCACACTGGGGAGTTTTATTCTTAGCTTCATTTTGAGGTAATGTTAAATAACAATGGCTTAGTTTTTATCTCTAAATCACTGTTGCTCATGACTTTTACTTATAAGTAGCTGTTGTACTAGCCGCCACTCATCTGTTGTGTGATTCTTTGATTTATATTAAGTGGGATCACAGTATCTTTTTATTCACTGAAAAATGCAGGCCTAGCAGAACCCTAGGAATACAAATTTAAAAGTAAAATAAGCAGTAGTAAAGAACAGACACCAAAGTCAAATGCCTACAAACAGCCCTAAGAGAAAATGGATCCCGATTTTACAGCATATCAGCGTTATGTACCCTGTATAATGCAGTTTTATAACATACATTTCGTACAAATACCAATTTTCATCTAAAGGAATATAATTGACAGATCCAAGGTCATTTGACTTTGGTGTCCATTCTTTACTGTTGTCGTAAAATATGTAAGCGGCCAAATTTTGGTTAACGGAATAGTATGTGTATTTGTAGAAGTTGCATTTTTATGTAGAAATCGATTTCCACTGTACAGTGGTAACACGTAATCATTGGATGAACTGCGCCAGAATTTGTGGTTTCTGTTAGCAATATTGAGGGGACGTTTTATCGAGGGTATTGTTCGCTGTGTTCATTAACCTACCAAACAACAGTAGAGTGAAGTAGTTTTTACTATTCTGAATATTCCATAAATGAATGCTATTAAGTAACAATAGTTGTAGTACATGGAGTACATCGCCTGTCAGTTAGATTCTAAAGTTCAGTGAAATTTAATGTCATTAATCACATATTCGAGAAACAACCGAAAGTAGTCAGGGTTACACTTATTTTGTTCATAGTCTTAGTCACTCAGTGTAATTCACGCTATGTGACACAATTCCAAACTAATGGTGTACGTATATTGCAGGATGCTGGATAACTACACGGTGTTAAAGCCTGTTTTGGACTTCAGTAACCGCAAAGTCCGACCACCTGTCTCCATTGTCAAGAACACTAATGTTCAGGTGTTTTGGTGAGTACTACACATTAAAATGACTGGCTTTTCTCTGCTGCTTTCTATTCTAACTCCACAAAACAGTCATCTGTTTCAGTACAGACGTTGGGACAGTATCACAGTTTCGGCAAGTTCTATTCAAGCTTGTGTGCCTAATTTCTGGGAATACAAATGAAGTTGTTTAAAAATCCATGCCATTACGGCTGTGCTCTATACCTCTCATAGGTTGAAAACTCTCGCCAATTTCCATTCTGTTCTCCTTTATATCAACTTGTGTCGTTTTCTTGCAAGTTTGGAATTGCGGCAACTCTTGTTGGGAGTTCCGTGCGAAGTTGCATCTTTCGTCCCTAAAACGTGTTTTCTCCTCGGGTTATTTAAAATCCGAATTCTGTTATCAGATAAAGGATGAATATTCACACTAGTCTACAAACTGTTACATGAGCACATATACTTTTTGTCTAATGTGTTCTAAACTTAAGTTTCTGGTTAAATTGTGTACAACACTTGAATTGGAAGGATAAACGAAATGTAGTGGGACCACTAGATTACATGGAGGATTTCATCATGAGCTGACATCAGTTAGAGAACTACTGGAAAACTTGGGAGTACTGGACAGCTGATTCGACTCTTCACCAGCGCGCACCCATCACAGGGGTTCGAACCCAGGACCTTCTGGTTACAAGGCGAGCTCGTAGACCATTGAGCCACTGGGACCCGATCCAATGGCTCTTGAATTCTAACTTCTGCCAATTCGCGACATAGCGCAACCACATTTGAATGTTGAGGAACATTTGTCGCATCAAAATATCCAATCCTCTTAGGATTTAATATTCAATATAGCGCACACATTTGTTTTTAGCTCATGCTAACAGTCAAACCTTTCTTTGTTTTTTTTAGTTAGCACGCATCACAAGTCTTATAAAACAGAACAATGGAAGCACTACTTGCTTATGTAGATGTTCCTCCAGATTGTCGGGACGCTATCCCGCTTTTAAACTTAGAAAATCAAGCGTTTGCAAAAATTTTAAAGCGAATGCTAAAAAAGCTGGAAAAGGGAGAAACTTCTGTTCAAAAGCAATTGCCTAAGATATCAAATGATGGTAATGAGGAAAATTCAGACTACTTATTCGTTGGAACCAGTCAAGAAGAGAGTTCAAATATACTGTTCGCACGGCTACCTGATTCTACAGGCGGCAATGAAATTTATAGGCTTCCTTTTCTGCGGTTTTCCGTTCGTAAAGCAAACGAGTGAGTTAATTTATTAAGTACAATAACTTCTCAGGATTTTTCCAATGTTATTCATTCGCCTGTGGTATAAAGAATCCTAAAGATTTGTCAAATAGTAATTCATTTTCTACTTTTCTCATTAGTGATACTTTTTGCATATCTAACGAAGACTGATTGGATCGACTCAACAACTTTATTACGTCGATTGAAGTCGTTGAAAAGGATATGTCAGGGTTAGCAAGTAATGTCCCGACCGAAAGCTGCTACCCTGACATGGTGGTCGGGTTTGAACACCGCAATGACCCTACAAGCTATACTGGCTGGAACGTATGTTCCTGTAGGTCCTACCATGCCAGAAAGGTTGTTTGGATAGCGGTTAGACAAAAAGCAACTACCCAATCCAATTCTATGATTCAAACAAATTCACAAAATATCATGCCGGATCGGTCGGGACCCGGATTAACAACGACCGCGCTTCCTGCTGCCGTGTCACAGGGCAGAAGTGATCAATATGCTACTGAGACACACCAAACGAAAAAGAACACAAAAACAGGCCGCGTGTGACCGACCTCAAGCAGTTGTCCCGTGGGCTCTGCGGTCACACAACACTCTTTCTGTTTCAAGTTCCCGAAGAACCAATCAACTTTCACAGTGTGGGCAGCCGGGAAGTAACAACCGCTGGCACACTTCCAAAAGCACACGAAGCCTTCCTGAGCAATTAATGTAAATGGTATAAACTCGCGGTTATAAATCTGTAGAGTGTAGAGTGAGTGTGCTGTTATTACTCTACATTCTAAATTTATGAAGTTGTACAATAGAAAATTGGATATTGGGAAACAAACTGCTTTATTGCTATTTGAACAATAATTATAGTTCACGAATTTGTCGTCGAGGATCTGAGCTATGCATAACCGGAATGTACTTGATTTTAACGAGGTCCTGACTAGTACTATTATTATTCCTTGCACTGTGAAGGGTTCACCTCGATCTATTAACTGTGGATGCATTGATCATGTGTTCACCCTTCGTCACTTGTTGGAACAACGAACGATCGTTGTGTTTCTTGATATTAGGGCTGCCTTCGATTCGTTGGACAGAACTGTGCTCTAGAACTGTCTGTTAGAGAGAGGTGTACCTGAGAAATTTGTTAACATCTTGAAAGCCCTATACAGAAACACCTCAGGTAGAGTGAAGGCATACAACCAACTATCATCACTGTTCCCAACCAACAGTGAGGTTAAACAGGGTTGCCCAATCTCTCCATTTCTCTTTAACTTTACCATCGATGACATGACATTCTGGAGTCAACTCTGAAGGATGTGCGTGAAGATGGTGTAGATCTGCTACCTGGAGATAGACTTTTCGACCTCGAGTAAACAGACGATATCGTCTTACTGTGCGATAGCATGCAGGCTGCCCAAATCGCACTTAATCGGTTGGCGATCAGTGTCTGTAAGTATGGTATGTGCTTTGCGCCGTCTAAGTGCAAACTACTGTTACAAGATTGGCAGGAGCCTGTACCTGCACTCACTCTTGCGGGTGGACCGCTTGAATTTGTTGATAAGTTTGTGTATCTGGGTAGTTGTGTGAGTGCTGGCGGAGGGGTGGCGGATAAGATAATGAAGGCTAGGGTGGCATACATCAACTTGAGCCACCTCTGGCGCCGTCGCGACGTTAGCCTGGCTGTCAAAAGTCGGGTATACAATGCTTCGATGCGGGCTGTCTTGCTCTGCGCCTGAGAAACCTGGCCTTTCCAAGCTGAGGATGTACGGTGACTCTGCGTGTTCTATCATCGCTGTCTTCGCAGGATCGCTTGCGTTCGATGGCATCGTCGCGTGAGTAATTCTGAGGTTCGGCGGCGTGTGTTCGAACACAGTGGAGATCACCATTCATTGAGTGTCGTCATCTGGAAACACCGTCTCCAGTGGCTTGGACATGTGCTGCGAATATCATCCCAGAGGCCGGTCTCTGTTCGCTAGCCCTGGGACGGGATGGAAAAGGCGGAGAGGTGGTCAGTCCATGACGTGGCGTTGTGGGATGAAGGATTTTTGTGCTAGATTAGCATCGGTTGGTGCATCGCGACTCCCTGGTTGGGGTCCGCGAGATAGCTCGAATCGATGGCTCAAAACTTTATCGGATATGGCCAAGACTCGTAATCAATAGCGAACGTGTTGTAATTTCCTTTTTTCTTCCCTTCCTGATGATAGTTAACGAATACTGTTTGAACTTGTTAAACATGACTGCTTTCCTTCCAGATGAAGTTCTTTATCCATTTTCTATTCATATTTTTACTCGTAATCTATGTTGTTTTATTATTATTGTATGGCGCATCTTTCTTGGTGCTATATTGTACCAGGGTTTTTCCGCGTTTAAATAAATCGAATAACTATTAACTGTGAGTTACAGCCTTGGTTTTATCTTGTTGACCAACTTACTAATTAGGCATTCATGTAGAGGTACGCTTAGCAACAATTCACATGTTACAGCTTTCTACTTGTTATCGTGTGACTAGACTTCTCCCTTGAGTGAATTATGTGAATCGGAATTCCGATTTCATTTCCTCGCTGTTATAAAGATTATTGATTGATTCATTGTGATTTTTAAGGAAAGAATTCCTTCCACATGTTAGCACGCATTTTTACATTTTTTTATATAATTCTAAACTTTTAGACCCGAAAAGGTGGAGACAAAAGAGGACACTGAAAAAGTAAAGGATCAAAGTAATGAAACGAACAGTGAGTGTGCATTTTCCTTTTGATCAATAATTCTATTGGATTTATTGTCAGATTTTTGATCTGCAATTAATAGCGTTCTCTGAGCTGTTTGGTTTAGTTGCGAAGCTTTCGTCGTCCTTCTGGACAGCATCTTCAGCGCCATATTTAGCACAAAGTGAAATGATTTAAATTTCTTCATGCGTGATGTAATTGCGTCTCCTGGTTACTGTCTTTACATATGTATTGACCATTTTCTATTGACTTGGATTTTAAAGTTTCTGGTCACCTGATTTACTTTTTATTAGTTGGTATATTTCGTCTATATTAACGTGTTTGTTAATGTAATTCCCTGACTGCACTTTTGGTGTTTCCTCTGTCCAAGATTTTGACATGATCCCAATCAAATTGATGACGATAATTGTCTATATGCACTGATACTTGAGAATACATATCGTGTCTTTTCACGGCTGATTTGTGTTCTTGGATTCTGATTCGAAGGGGACGCCCACTTTGGCCCATGTAATGCTTGTTGCAGTTCATACAATTTATTTTATCCCCTTTTTCTTTTGGATCACTCATGAAGAAATTTAAATCATTCCACCTTGTGCTAAATATGGCGCTGAAGATGTTGTCCAGAAGGACGACGAAAGCTTCGCAACTGAACCCACCAGCTCAGAGAACATTATTAATTGTAAATCATCCACCTGAGCTACAAATCTTCTCTATTATTTCAAGATTTTCGATCTGTTGTGTATTCTCTATGCAAAGTAATACCAAATTTTGATTGTATTCACTGCCGTTTGGTTCGTGCGTGGGTGGCTCAGCGGTAGGACGCTGGCCAACCACGCCACACTTGGTCCGGGATTCGATCCCCCACCGACGTACTCCTACACCTCGCTAAGCCGCTAGTAAGACCGGTAAAAGAGGGAAGGTTGGGTATGAGGCTAGCATCCCCACCCCGTATAGAAGAATAAAATCACTGCTACAGAAACTTCAAAGCTTTAGCTTAAAGCCCCATGTTCCACTTGGAACGTAAAGGAATAAAAAAATAAATAACTGTTCGGTTGGGTGAATAGAACGTGTTTCACATAAACTTTACACAAATCCAAACTGTACAGATTTAAATTTTGTCAACCAACTGGATTCAGCTGTGATAAAAATGCTAATGAGCTCACCGTTAGATGAAACGGTTTTCACGCGTTTGAATCACTGATATGGCTAACTAAATGTACTTTCCAGCTACTTATGTTTTTCAGTAGTATGATTCGCTAATCAGAAAATAAACTACATGAAATGGTACTTTAAATCTCATCATGTTTTCAGCATAATAGTGTAATTCTTTCACAATGATATACTACAGCATGAGTGCTTTTCTTGTGTCTTTCTCAAGAAATGTTGGTTGGAAGTTGAGCGCCTAGACCATTGATGCACAGCTGCACACACTCTGCTACTGTGTGAAACATTAACATCCACTGTCTGTCTGTCTGTCTGTCTGGATTCAACATAAAACTTGCCACCGAAGTGCAGCAGTTCGAGTTGCCACGTTCCAAATAGCACACAAACGTAGACAAGAAAATGAGTGAAGAGAATCAATAGAGTTTTGACAAGTATAAGAGTGAAACAGAATGAGTAATGGTAGAAAGGAATATGAAGGTTAAAGAGACTATATACGTCTGCATAAGCCATTGATAACGATTTTGAGCCATGTCACCTATTGTCTCCAGCCATTGATTCTTAGAGTCCCGAGGGCCCCAACCCGGAAGTCTACATCTCTCTACCTGACTCATTTTAACTGTCAAGGATTTCATGGATTGATGAGGCCATGTTTTTGTTTGGCCGCCACTTACTCTTTTCCAACCTGCACCTGCCTATATCAGCTAGTAATGCCCGTCGAGGGAGACGATGCTTAGGCATGCGCAGCACGTGACCTAGCCATCTCAATCTATGTAACTTTATAGCTTCTTCGATTGATTTTTCCTCCTTGCCCAACACTCTACGTCTAACTTCAACATTACTTACCTTATTATACCACCTAACGTGAGAATGAGATCGTAGACATCTATGATCAAAAACAGTCAACCTTTTCATGTCTTCAACTAGTATTGGCCATGTTTCAGAGCCATAGAGAAGGACGGAGCGAACTGCTGAGCAGTACACACGTTCCTTGGTTGATAGCCGGATGTCACGCCTACGCCAGAGATGGTGAAAGTTAGCGAAAGCAGCTGGAACTTTTTGGATCCGTGCTGAGATTTTTAACGTCCACTGTGACTGGTTGTTGTTAAAAGTTAGTTACTCGGAATCAGCTTTTCCGTGCACACCTCACTGTGATTCAGATTTATTCTATGAAGATTGATGATACCGCCCAGTTATCCAAGCTGAAGTTGACGAATTAAGATTGTGATCCTTAGATGTTTTAACTTAGAGTTGAGTAGTAGTACAACAGCTGATGAGTTACATTCAAACTGTATTTTTGTGAGTAGTAAACATTTTGCTGCAATTCTACTTCTGTGTTATACAATTCAATAGCTACTGTTACGTGCAATAGATGATACTGTACGGGCTATTATGTATTGGTTGATTATACTACATTTTTAATTCGTGGAGAATAATTCCCATTGGCACTTGTAGAGCACCAAGACGAATGATTCAGCAAAGAGACTCTTTTCAACGACGAATTTATTATCAAGCTGTACAATCGCACATATATAAGGTTTTTTAAAGAAGTTATATTCCCTGAAGACATTTGAACGAGGGTGTGAATACATAAAATAATACACATTTGATCATAGGGAATAAGAAGACAATTGCAGCGAAGATAATTTTCTTTTCGACGAAGTCATCATCTAGGCTGTACATTCGTGTATTTATATCAAATGGATGGGAAAGTTCCAGAATAATTTCCAGTTAAGGGTCAAACTAATAAAAATTACAATTAGGAATTAGAATGCCATAGTAAACAGGGGGCGCATAAAACTCAAACAAAGTAGCATAATAACTAAGAAGATTGACATTATGCAATTGGGGGTTAGAAATGTAGAAATAACAAAATAGACAGGATGTTTGGATAAAAAACTAATGTGATGAATAATTGTTTATGCAATCAGGGATTAAATATGTAGAAATAGTAAAATGACAAAATAAACAGGAAGTGTGGATATGAAAATATGGTAGTGTAGACAGGGATTAAGAAAAACTTAAAATAACATGAATAAACAGGAAGTTTAGATAAGAAAGGCGATAGAATGGTCATTACTAGAAAAATTTACCTGTTTATGATGGCCATGGCAAGGACAGGGGTTGGACGTATTTCTTTTGGATAGCTAACGCCTCAGCTATGCCCAGATGTCTTGATTCCACTCCCTTTGATAGGTTTGATTGAATTTTGTATATTACTTTGAAGGATTTTTCGTAAGGCGCTGAATGTCCTGAGTTGACCAGATGTTCTGTCACTGAACTGTATACACGTTTTTGCTCTCCTTTTTACTAGCCAGGCTGGGTAGTGTTCGCGAGCGCGTTTTCCAAGTCGGCGTATGGTACGGCCAATGTACTCAGCTCCACAAGAGCAAGTAAACTGGTATATGCACGTTGAGGTGGCCCAATGCGACAGTTTGTCTTTCGCGTTCTGGTTGAACAGTTTCTTGCAGGAAAACGTCAGTCGTAGGCTCGCGGCGAGGTATGTTTTCCTCGCTGCAACACAAAATAATAATGGCAGTATGAAGGGCAATTGAAATGTTCGTGACTGTCATCATAGTTACATGTCGAGTGGCAAAATAAATAATGTCATGTGTAGAACAATTCTCATAGGATGTGTATGGATGTTAGAAGGGTGTGTGTGCGTGAAATTAGTAGGCAAATAAAGACGTTGCCTAACATGCTGTAAACTTTGGCAATATAAAATTTAACATTCCGAAAACATTTTCGATTATAAGAATGAAAAGTGGGACAAGTAAAGTAATCCCGGAAACAGTTCAAAGTGACAATATTAATAGTAACAATCGAATAAATAAAACGGAAAATAAGTAGAGCCAAAGTATGGATGGGGTTTATCATACTAACTTTAGCATAGATGGATTAAGACCATGAACACACCTCTTCTTTATACAGAGATCTGGTTTCTCTATTTCGATAAGCAAAGCTTCAGCAATACAGATGAGTTGGCTACGTGATGACTTGGGTAAGTCATTTTTTGCCTTGTAGGATAACTTTAAAGGAAGAGCTTTGTAGAGACAGGATGATTCGCATTGACCAGATGTTCAATGATTGCGCTTCCACCTCTTCGTAACTACACCGGATAGTGTTCTTTCATGCTCTTGGAAAAAATCCAAGTCGAACGACCGATATTGCTAAGCACCATAGCAGCAGGTGAATTAGTAAACGCGCATAGAGTTGTTCAACTGCGGTATTTTGTCCCTTAGGTTACTAAACAGTAATGATCGACTGGAAAACGCTATTCTGAACACTGCTGCAGGAAATGTCATTTTCAGAGACGCAGAGGTCCTTCTTTAAATGATATCGGCAGCTTAGTCACCTTTGAATTCCATGTTGATGTACAGCATTTTCTTGGTTACGGATGTTAAGTCATATATCATAGGTTTTGACCGCATGTTCTTGTCTGTCTATAAGACGTGAAAAAAAATCTATTTTGCATGATTTTTCTTAGTAGATTTAACTCTTTCTCCACAGCATCAAGATTACACATGATTATAATCACAAGTATTTTTTAATTGCACTTCACACCGCCATTATTATTTTATGCATTCACACCTATAATTTAAATTCCCTCACCGGATATAATTTCTTAAAAACCTCATACATACGACTGTACGGCTTGATAACACATTCGCTGAAAAGAGTCTCTTTGCTGAATCACCACTTGTTTTGATTTTGTATACTGACATTTCAATAACCATCATGGTTTTGTTCTTGTGATTTATTGCATGTCGACCCGAGTCAGTGAGTCTCTGGTTTACGTGTTATTTATGGTAATTGCATTCAGCAGTGATATTTTTGTTACGGGTTTT